ACCCAGGTTGCCAGCAGGGGGAGGCAGGACCTGCGGCCAGGCCAGGCTGAAAGGGCTGAGCTCTTGGGGGATGCTGGGCTGGAAGGCACTGAGCTGGTCTTGCCCAGGTGGGAAGTAGATTCTGGCTCTTCTGATAGGCATCAGGTGGGCTGGCAGTTCAGGTCTGGTGAGGAAGCAGTAGAGGAGAATTCATGCAGGATATTGGGAACTGCGTTAGATAGATGAGAGGCTGGCTCAAAATAAGGTGGTTTGGGTGGGGGGAGAATCTGGTGTCCAGGCGTTCAGTTAGAAAACAGGGGTTGGTGTGGGAAGGTCAGCCAGGAAGGAAGGAGGCTGGATGAGCTCAGTGCTGTCCTGGGGCAGGGCAGGGCAGGGAAATGGGACCTGAGTAGGCTGAGGGTCATCATAGGAGCACCTGAGCCTCCTGAGCACAGTCCACACTGTGGGAGAATCCTGCCCCCACTGGAGAGAGTGGTTCTGGAAACAGAAACAGTGCCCATGGCATGGCCCCCTGGCCTCTAGGGCCCCAGAGTTATTCCCCTTCCACTGACCTGCTCCTCCTTCAGCAAAATTGTTGGGGGAGTCGGCGGGGGCTTGGTGATAGAATTTAGCTTAGATAAGAAGTTTCTGAGGCCCAAAGAGGACCATTTCTGAGGATAGAGGTTTTTTGTTTGTTTGTTTTGTTTTTTGTTTTAAATAATGGAGCTTAGAATCAGACCTTCCAGAGGGTTAAACACCAAAGAGGTGTGCTTGCAAAATGGGTGAGAAACTACTGTATGGGGTTTAGGGAGGGTGGAGGCTGGGGTTAGAAAGAAGGAAGCAAGCCCAGAATTGCCAGCAGAGGGCGCATGGAGCAGCGTTGTTACCTATTGAAAGGGTTCACTGAATAAGACTTCTGTGGCATTGGCTCTAGAGATGAGTTTATTAGGCCCTGTACTCCACACTGCCCGCCCCATGGGATTCTTGCCTCTGCCCCCAGACGGATGGTCAAGCCAAGAGGAAGGCCAGCCTCACGCCTGCTGTTAGAGGCTCTTCATTGTTCTCTGTATCCAGGGGAGGAAGTATGAGACCTTCATGAGGACTCCTGGTGGTTTCTCCACAGGAGAAAATTCCCTGGGTCTACTGTTACAAGAGAGGGGACCCTGGAGTCTCCCTGTGAGCCGAAAGAGGAAAGACTGAGCTGGACTCCTCGGGGTCCTGCCCTCCTGGCCGCCCAGGGGCAGGTGGTCTGTGTTGGGGGCTGTGGGAGGTTCAGGGTCAGGGCTGGCCTTGTTGCCTCCTTTGGTCCCCAGCTCCAGCCTGGCTTTGACTGTCCCTTCCAGCTTGATTCATGCTAAGCCTTTCTCGCCAATACCCAGGGACACTCTGGAAATAACACTGCTGTGAGATGACTAATTCTTCCTGACCTCCAGCCCTGATCCACCCAGGGGAAAACACCAAAGACTGGGTTTGTGGACCAGGCTGTCCAAACTCTCAGGACAAGGCATGAAGAGATGACCACTCCCATACCCCAGAGCTTCCCAAGTTCTATCTCCTGGGACCTGTGCAGGTAAATGCTGAAAGTTGACTCCAAAGCCAGTCTTCCTCTCCTCTGGCGGTCCTTCCCCAATCTGGTGACCTTGCGGTGGTATCTGGGGAAATGGAATTTGCATTCTTAATTTTTTTGAAAGGCCACCTCCTGCAGAGTGGTTGGTAGAGCACCATCTCCACGGGCCCTCAGCCAGCCACAGTGCCCTCCTGTCCTGGCCTCACCATCCCTCCCTCGCCCCTGGGCAGTTGTAGGGGCTTCACAGCTTTAGACAATTTGATGTTTCTCCCCAGCTGATGGGGAAGAGGCAAGAGAGTCCAGGTCTGACCATGGCCTCGGCCTGGACACTGAGATGAAGCTGCAGTGTCTTCCTTCACCCCTGAACCACTGGGACAGGTCAGACAGCCAGGAAAAGAAGAAATAAAGAAACACATCACAGAGAGAGGAGGAAGAATGAGGACCCAGAATTGTAAGAGCAGCAGGAGGTTTCCTCACCTGCAGTAACATGATGTCTTTAGAGAAGCTCTTAGCATTATAGTTTGGGTGCGGGATGACTCTTTTCACCAGGATGACCTGTGCTGGGCTGCATATCTGGCGCTTTGGCCAGACGGGTCATGCTGTGCTGTCTCTTCCTAAACACACAGCCCTTCTTTCTCAGAAGGCCCGGAAGTCTCATTCCAAATTTGGGAGACAAAGGACTGGAAAAAGTATAAATAAAGAGAGTGTCCTCCATATTTCCAGAATTTGAAAGGTGCATTTTTCTCTAGGCCTCCACAGAATTTAATAATAAAATGTAACTCCTGTAGTCTGCACTGCAGTTCAACCTCTGCTTTGGCAGGGTGCTGTAACTGTAGTCAGCTGGCCAGCTTAATAAAGGCTCTTAAATTTAAATTCTGAGTCGGTGGTCTATCTCGCTGAGTGAACCCCTAACAGACCTGCTGGGTCTTCCTCTGCTCCTTGATGGTGTGAGCCCCCAGGTGACACTCCCTGACGTGCACTGAGAGCAGAGTGGGGTCTGGGAGGCGGGGTGGGGGTAGAGTCACAGGAGATACAGCCTAGGAGTGGTAAAGGGCAGGTGACAGCTGGGCAGTGTAGGGGAAACCGAGGCTACAGGAACCAGGGGGCTGAGTGACTCTGCTTCTTAATGACACTGAGGTTAAGGAGCTGGGAGCTCTCTCCTACACTCAGGAAATATCACAAAATCACTTGTGCTTACATTTTGACTCTAATGCATCGTTCATTATCCACTGCAGCTTTATTTGCCCAGTGTGGTCCCTCCCTCTCTTCTCAGCTACATCACTTGCTGTCACCTGTGACCCTCTGAGCCCAAAGCTTACCTGTCCTATTTCTCAGCCTCTCGTTGCTCCGTCATGATTTCAGAGGGATCCTCTGATGAAGGCTCATGGGCTTGAATTACCAGGAGCCTGGGGAGCTTCCCTGGGCTGCAGCTCCTGGGATGAAGGACAGGATCCCGGTAGGGGTCTCAGGAGGTGTGTAGCCTGGCTGTAGCCTCTCACCCTTCACTGAAGTGAACAGCTGTCTGGACCAAGTTCACGCTCACAAGGATACACCACACCTGATCTCCTCATCTTGAATGTGAATGTAGGCCATGTAGGAGCTGGAGTGAGGCTTGGCTTAGTGTTCCCTCTGAAGGGTAAGGCTTGAAGGTGGGTGACTGGCAGTGTCTGTGGTCAGGAGGGAAGGCTTAGGAAGGAGGTGATTGAGGTGGGTGGTCTAGGTGCCCTAAAGACAATGGAGGGTGGGTCTCTTAGGTCCAGCTGTGGCCCAGTAACCTTCTCTGAACATCAGGCCTCAGAATCCCCCTCTAAGAACAGGGGCACAGTCCTTGCTCTCCAAGTCCTCCTCAGACACACATATGGAGGAGAAAAGGCCTATTTTGCAGATAGTGGAGCCCCAAGGGATGGAACAGATCTCTGTGTCTCCTGATACCCTGAGCCTGTGTTGGTGCTGTTTTTAATAATCTAATCCATGAACCTAATACATCCTAGGTTCTCAGTAAACATTTGTTGGCTGCATGAATGATGGACTCCAACTAGCTTTTTCCTGATGTCTGATGGGATTCAAGGCCACAGGGATGGGTGAGGGCACAGCCAGAGATAGTGGAGCAGCCGAGCGCCTGGGAAGCAGGGCAGGTGGGGCTGAACATGGGCAGCTCTGGCTGGGGAGGAGCCAAGGCAGCCAGGGAGCTTCTGTGCAGTCATCCAGCCACATCTCAGATCACTCACATCTGGCTCCTCTCCTGGGCATGGTCTGCATTCACTTTCAAGATGAGAAGGAGACCAGGTGTGGTGTGTTCTTGTGCCAGAGAACTTTGTTGTGACACCTGCTCACTGTAGTGGAAGGTGAGAGACCGCATCCAACTTACACCTCCTGAGAAATTTAACTGGTTCTTAAGTAGGGTCCAGCTTCCATGACATTAGCTGGTTTGTCTGAAATGCCCTTTTCTGGGTCGGAGTGAAGGGTTTTATTTATTTATTTAATTAACTAATTAATTAATTTATAAAAATATATTTTTATTGATTTTCAGAGAGGAAGATGTAAACATCAATGATGAGAGACAGTCGTTGATTGGCTGCCTCCTGCACACCCCCCACTGGGGATCGAGCCCACAACCCAGGCATGTGCCCTTGACCAGAATGAAACCTGGGACCCTACAGTCTGCAGGCCAATGCTCTATCCACAGGGCCAAACCAGTGAAGGCGAGTGAGGGGTTTTAATAATGTGTTTCGTAGCTTCACGTCTTTTGTCAAACCTTTTTCTCCACCAAACTCATTTTTTTAGGTAATAAGAGAGAGGCTAATAGCTGCTAAACCCTTTACTGCACACCTTCCTCCTGGCCATCCTTGTTGAGTGTCTGTCCAGCATCAGACTTGTTAGTCTGGGGTGGGATGGGACCAGGCATTCAGAATTCCCGAGCACAAATGGAGGAAAAGTCCCTGCCTGTGCATGGCAGAAGGGTCAGAAGGACAGGGTGTTTCCTGGGGGTAGGGGAAGTGTCTCAGGTTTCTGGAATGGGGCTGGTCATTTACCAGTCATAGCCTAGAGGAGGGAGGGAGGCACAAGAGAGACCAAGAAGAGCAGGAGTGGCTGCATCTTCCCCAAAGGCCTGCCCAGGTCGGAGCTGCTGGTGTTTCTTGTGTCTAGAAACAAACCCCTGAGGGGAGCAGTGAGTGTGGCTCAGTGGCTTCCTGCACCTCCGTCCCTATAGTTTTGCTGGGTGTCATCACACCAGATGTTTGTGGAAGTTCTCAAGCTTGGTTTGGTGACAATGGCACTGTCACCACATTTGTACTCCCACTGCTAAGCCA